AGCCTGTTTCAGTCTGTGACTCCCTCTCTCTCTGACCCTCCCCTGCTCACGCTGTGTGTCTCTCTCTCTCCTAGAAATAAAAAAACAAAACAAAAAAAAGTAAAAATAATACTGATATTCCTTTTTTTTTTTTTTTTTTAAGAAAGTTCCACACCCAACATGGGGCTTGAACTCATGAGCCTGAGATCGAGTCACACGCTCTAATGATGAGCCCACTGGGTGCCCCTAAAAAGGTTACTGATGTTCCAGTCTTTCTGTTTTAAAACCATAAAAGAGGCAAAGAAAAACATTTTAAGAATGTACCTGCTCAGCGTCTGCCATCCGTGACCCGTGCGGAGCTAATGCAGTGTTTCCCAGAAGCTGTGCTCCTTTTCCAAGGAGACCCGCCTGGGTTTTCTCTTCCCGTGGCTCCCGCTTAAATCACACGAACAGAGTTGCTTGGCAGGTTTTATTAGCCTTTCGTCCCTGGAGGATTTTTATTCTTATTGGTTCTGAGCTGTAGATTGGAAAAGAGTCACTTTTGCTTCAGGACTGGGTCGCCGCCTGAGACCACAGCCGTCAGCGCCTGGTCCCAGAGAAGGGCAGCAGTGATGCTGGTTCTGAGAGCCCGATGGAGTCCTGGCTGTCATGGGTCAGAGTCCACAAAGGCTTTTAAAAACAGGAGGCCAAGTTTAGTTAGCTGATCCTTTTTCATCAAAGAGATAAATGAAAGTCATTTAAAAACCTTGTTTGCTTCCTGAGTAGCACTGGTGTTTCAGCCCCGCCCTCCAGGGGGCCTGAGTTCAGGGACACAAGTGCGCTGTGCGACCTGTCCTCCAGGGGCGGGGCTGCTCACAGTGACACCTCTGTTCTCATCGCAGCTGCTGGGGACGCGCCCTTAGCGCCTTTGCCTTCTCTGGTGTAAAGGCCCCTCTCACTCGCTGCTCGCTCTCAGGCTAACTGCGGACAGACAGACTTATTAAGAGTAGGGAAGCCGAGGCACCTGGGCGGCTCAGTTAGGCGTCCGCCTTCGGCTCAGGTCATGGTCTCGAAGTTCGTGAGCTCCAGCCCTGCATCGGTCTCTCTGCTGTCAGCACAGAGTCCGCTTCAGATCCTCTGTCCGCGCCCCCCTCCCCACCCAGTAATGAAGGAATGACTTCTACTGGGGGAGACTCGCCACTGTCCCTTGGATGTCGCATGTCTTCAGTCAGCTCAGTGTGTGAAAAAGAAACAGTAAAAAAAAGTGACACCGAGAGATACAAACCGTGCACCGTAGCTCCTTCTCCTCTTGCACGTATCCCGACATTTGAGCTTGACACTCAGTCAGAAGTGAATATTTAAAAGTCAGCGTACACACACAGGCACATGTTCATTTATTGCATGCACTGAAGTATGCCTGCGCAGGAGACAGGCTTCTGTGCTGGAGGCCAAGCAAGCCCCGCAGTGGGGTTTCTGGGCCAGACGCCCGCTGTCGGCTGTTGGGTGCAAATGCTGTTTGAAGACCAGTGACTGAGAAACCACTCTTCCGGGGCGCCTGGGTGGCTTAGTCGGTTAAGCGGCCGACTTTCGCTTGGGTCATGATCTCGCGGTTCGTGGGTTCGAGCCCCGCGTCGGGCTCTGGGCTGACTGCCAGCTCAGAGCCTGGAGCCTATTTCAGAGTCTGTATCTCCCTCTCTCTCTGACCCTCCCCTGCTCACGCTGTCTCGATCTCTCTCTCTCCTAGAAATAAAAATATTTAAAAAAAAAAAAAAAAGAAACCACTCTTCCATTTGTTCACGACCTAATCATACAGGTAGAGGAGCATGTTGCCTGTGATTCCACTACCGCTCCCTTGGCGCTTCCATACTGGCTTTTTTCCCCAGTCCTGTTAAAAAAAAAAAAAAATCTGTCATCTGGTTATACAATTTGTAGTCTTTTTCTTGTAGCACAAAGCACTTTCTACATTGTCAGAAACTCTATCTGCTCTTCTTTCTGAGAATGCATTAAGATTCATTTAACCATTTTCCCCCATTTTTTGGACACCTAAGTTATAAGTGATAAAAGCAAGCAGATTTAAGATAAATACATCATTGGGGCGCCTGGGTGGCTCAGTCAGTTGAGCATCCCACTCTCAGTTTTGGCTCAGGTCATGATCCCACAGTTTGTGAGTTCGAGCCCCATTTTGGGCTCTGTACTGACAGTGCAGAGCCTGCTTGAGATTTTCTTTCTCTCCCTCCCTCTCTGGCCCTCCTCTGCTCTCTCTCTTTCTCTCTCAAAATAAACAAACTTAAAAAAATAAAATACATGATTTCAGCTGTGCAGTAGATGTACACATAGAAAAATGCATTTGCAGGGGCACCTGGGTGGCTCAGTCGATTAAGCATCTGACTTCAGTTCAGGTCATGATCTCATGGTTCACGAGTTCAGGCCCCACGTCGGGCTCTGTGCTGACGACAGGGAGCCTGGAGCCTGCTTCTGATTCTCTGTCTCCCTCTCTCTCTGCCCCTCCCCAGCTTGTGCTCTGTCTGTCTCTCTCAAAAAAACAAAAAACAAAAAACAAAAAGAAAACTGCATTTGCAGGAAGATATGGGAGCTTTTTACTTACAGTATGTGTTACTTTATAAGCAGAGAGTGAGTCAGTCCCTTTGGGCCAGCTGTGTCGTTGCAACTCCCCCCCCTTTTGAAAGTGACCCTCCCTCACCCCTTCAGTCCCCAGAGAAGAGCCACAGCCACAGTGGATGGAAATCTCTTTGTTCTGGCTTCACTTGCCCCCAGGGCATAGACAACTTGCCCAAGTTCCTGGGGTCAGGCAGGAGCCTGCCAGGGTCAGGCATGCACCAAGAGCCAGTGACAGGGCCTGTAGCCCATGGAGGGTCACGTGCCTGGCTCCAGGGGGCAGCCCTGCTCGGTCCCAGCAGTTGAGGCCTTGAGAGGATGGGTTTGGTGTTAGTGGATATTTTGGATTTGGGAGAGAAAGCAAGGTTTTTAGTACGAGAGGTTCTCTACTTTCTGTTGTTAGCGGCTAATTCAACTTTAAAAATACAACTCTGGGCACCCCCCCCCCAACTGTTTGCACATGGGGTCCCAGTCCTATCTAGACAACCGGTCACATGTGAAAGAAAGAGATGGTTAACTGCCAGCGCGCCAGGAGAGGGGGTGCCGAGGAATGGTGGAGAGCAGCTGCACGAAGCCCGGAGCAGGGCGGGCGGGGGGGGGGGGCGAGGGGCAGGCCAGACGGGGACTCCCTTCTGCCTCCTTTGTGCTCTCGCAAGGGTTATTGACACCCCAGCCCCACTGGGCCGCACCTGCCGCCTGATTCTTCCTGTGGCTCCCTTTTCATTCCCCACCCAAGGAGGAGACCCCCCACGAGAAGGCTCTCCCCAAATCTCCCACGGTGTGGGGCTTCCCGGGGGCTCCTGCAGAGCCTGGAGGCCTCCCTGCAACGATGGCGGAAAGCAAGCCCCTGCCCTTCCGAGGCCGCTGTGACTTCTCCGCGGCCTCCACCTCACGACTTGGGGGCCAGTGGAGGGTCTCCTCAGTCCTGACATTTCCCAGGCTCCTGTGCGGTGGGCTTGGGAGGGGGCAGCACATGCGTGAGCAGCTCGGGCGGCGGAGGGCTCGGCACGGGCTGACTGGCCCCTGGGTGTCGGGAGGTGCCGGGAGGGCTGGCAGCTTCTAAGAAGGGCGCTTCGTGTCGTGTCTTGTGCGGAGGGCGTGTGCCCTGAAAGAGATTCTGGGCGCAGCAGGGCGGCCGTTGCTCCTGTTCCGGCAGGAGCTCCAGGTCAGCACAGGCTCGTGCGCACGGCTCACACACCCGCCGGCCGGCCGGTAAAGTGGCTTCACCAGGCGGTAAGGGACAGAGACTCAGGCAGAGTCGGGAGGAGCCCGTGCTGTCCCCTCCGTGAGAGGGCACCTTCCCCAGCAAAGCGGATGCAGCCACACCCGTGCAAGGTTTCTCCCAGGGAAGCTCGTTAGAGACGGACACGCGTCCTGGGACGGGGCGGGGTCTGCGCGGGCGGCTGTCCCGCAGGAGGACACGCAGCTGCGGCCGCGGCTGAGCTGATGGTGGCTGACTGTTGGGTGCCCAGCCCTGTGCTAAATGCCCTGCGTTGTTACCCCCAACTCCTGCCTCAGCCCGGAGCGCGGTGGGAGTTCGTTCTACTCCCCATTTAACAGATGTGGCACCTGAGGCCCAGAGAAGCCACCGGCGTGTCTCAGCCTCCTGGGGACCCACAGTAAGGGGAAGAGGACACAGCAGAGCCCATGCTGGCTGGGACCCTCGCCCGAGCAGGGCGGGCTCCCCAGCAGACCCCCTGTGGGGACAACAGTGGGCAGCGGCCTGTGCCTCCAGACAGGTCCCTCCCCTCCTGCTGGGACCGAGCCGTTTCCCCTCTTCCTGGCCCTCTTCCTGGACCCTAGAGCAGGCTTCTCACAGCAGGGTTCCCACAGGCAGCAGCGCATCACCTGAGAAAACATGAGAAATGCGGGTTATTGGGCCCCACCCTAGACCTCCTGAATAGGACACCGGCCTGGGGTCCCATCAGGCCCGGAGATGCTGATGCAAGGTCAGGTTCACAGCCCTCGGCTCCGTCTGGGAGGGAAGCTGCGGGCTTCTTCCCTTCCGGGCAGTGCTCAGCCCCGCGCGGCCCGTCACGGGCTCTTAGGAAATTAGTCATCGTGAGACGAACCGGCAGCAGGTGCGCAATAAATAGTGCTGGTGATTCCTTACACAGACGTTTCCTGAATGCCCACCGCGGGCTGGTGTCTGTGATCGCGGCCTTCCCGCACACCCAGATTGGGCCTGCGGGGAAGACAGACAGCCTGACACAGGAGGTGGTGGGGACCTTAACTGAAATCTGGGGTCCCAGACACTGGCCCTCCTGGGCCCACCACGCTGGCTCCACATGCAGGACTTGCCAGGGCAGAGCTTGGACTCAAAGACACTTTGGGAATTTCCCGAGTGTTTGCAGAGCGGCTGTTGGGCAAGGGAGAGCTGGCCTCCGCGGGGTGACAGAAGGTTCTCTGTTCTTCGCCCTCCGCAGTGCGGGGCCGCCTTCCAGGACGACGACATCATCGTGCTCAACGGCACCAAGGAGGATGTGGAGACGCTGAAGGGAAGGATGGAGGAGAGGAGGCTGAGGGCGAAGCTGGGAAAGGTAATTTCCCCTCGTGTCTGCCCCTCACCGTCCGGAGGCTTCGGCCGCCTCGGCTCCGGGCCCCGTTGCAACCCCCCGAGCTGTGTTGCTGGCCCCTGGCGGGCGGGCGGGGGTCAAGGTGGCTCCTGTCAGGGCTCACAGTGCAGGCGGGGCGTCTCTGCTCTCCGTCACCCAGCTTCCTCGGCGACCTGGGGTGGCGAGAGCTCCTTTGTAAGACAGGCGTCGCCGAGAGGGGCAAGGGCCCACAAGGTCATGCCCGAGGTGGGGGCAGCCACACAGCCCCTGAGCTGGCACTGATGGAAGAGTCGTGCTGGGTGTTCAGAGCTTATAAACTAGAAGCAGAAAATCACCATTACCGCACGTCGGGAGAGCCCGTGCTGCCCAGGTGTGCAGGTCCCAGGAGTCCCCCAGAGGTACTGGGCGGGGGGCCCGGCCCTGGGAGCCTGCCATCCGCCCCCCCGCAGGACGCAGGGAACTAAGCAGCCTCCTCACAACCGGAGCCCCCCGACCTCCCTGTGCCCTTGGTGGGGGGACTGGGCGGGAGTGGCACTGCGGCTCTGCAGTGGCATCTGGAGCCCTGGCTGGATGTGCCCTGTGAAGGCTCGGTTTCGTGGCCCTGGGCTAGAATCACGTTCCGCCAGCAGCGGACTCCTTGCTTGCGGACCTGCCGTAAAGGACTGGGCTGAAAGCAGTTCATCAGCTCCGAGGTCCCCAAGGCGCCGGCCGTGCCACAGCCACCAGTACATGGCATCATGTCACAAGGTGTTTGCCATGATCCCCACTGCTGCTCGCCAATAGCAAGTTTCATTCTTTACAGAAAATAAGCGGGGGACACCTGGCTGGCCCGGTTGGTGGTGCATGTGGCTCTTGATCTCGAGGTCATGAGCTCAAGCCGCACGCTGGGTGGAGAGATTACTAAAAAAATAAAAATAAACTTTAAAAAATTGTTAATTAAAAGGTTAAAAATAAAACAATGAAAAACTAAGGTTCATGGTAAGTGCGGGAGAACTTTTGTGATTAGAACTCAGAGGAATGCTTGAAGGGTTAAGAGAATTAGCGCCGTCCTGAGTGCATAGAATCACGGGGAAACCCCTGTGTGGTGGCATTTACCAGTGATGCGGTCACAACAGATTTCTCAGAGCCGTTTTCATCCCGGTGGAGGACGGGGCTCTGGGCATGTGTGCTGCATTGGTGTCTGAATTACTGGGGTTTCGTTATCAAGGGAGCAAAGCGAGAATGCAGAAGCCTGGAGACGGCTTTGACGGGCTTTGACGGTTACCAGACATTTTTACATTTTGCACAAGCATTATAAGTCCCTCTGCCTGTGTATATTACAGGTTCAAGGCCGGTGCCCGAGGAAGGTCTTTTTTTCACGTTTTCTACTGATGGGAGCCTTCTGAAGTAATTAGGTAGTGTGCCTGTGGTGCCACCTTCTGGATACTCAGGACAATGGCATTTGAGATTCTCAGTAAACAGTTCTGTTTGTGTTTTCTGTCACCGAGTCAGTTCTCACACACCTGTGTGATTTTAGAATGGTCACTTTCCTTTTTTAAATTCCTGTTGACCAATATAGTTATTTTAAGGGACAGAACTTTAGTGCCTAAAAATCTGACGTAATCCAGAGTTTAGGAGATTTGGCCAACGTGCCTTTTAGTATAGCCTCAAGTCTTTTTTTAAGTGTATTTACTTTAGTAATCTCTACACCCAGTATGGGCTCGAACCCATGACCCCAAGACCGAAAGTCTTAGTCTCTGACTGAGCCAGCCAGGTGCCCTCAGCCTCAAGTCTTCATAGTTAAACAAACAACTATCAAAGCAGGTTGACAGCTTTGATGAAGTCACTGGTACGGGTTAGATCCAGTCTGTGTTTCTGTTGCGGGGACATGAGGTCCCATCTCTACTTTGTTATTTGTAGTCACCCTTAGCGGTGTCATCGCTAAAACCTGGGTCTAAGACTTGTGAGAATGTGATTTCTGGAATATTATAAGTCGAGAACTAGGCAGGTGTCTTCAGCTGCGTTCCCGAACGAGGCAGGAGCACATAGCTGGAAACTCGCGGAACGGATATGGTTTCCGACACATCTCCGGGGTGCGCACCGCCCCTCCATGACTTGCAGTGGCCTGTCCGGCGCACAACCACACATCTGCCAGAATGCAGGGAGTCTGCGCACAGCTCTCGTCTGCCCTTTCTCTTTACAGAAAGCAAAGAAACCCAAAGCGGTAGAGTCTGTCTCAAAACCAGATGTCAGTGAAGGTAAGACCCTTGAAAACGTCCTTACTTGGGCAAAAAGCTGTTCCTTTAAAATACTTTTGTTTTTTATTTTGTCTGACCTTTTTTTTCTTTTTCTTTTTTCTTCTTTTTTAATAGAATCCCCAGGACCATCGAAAGTGAAGACCGGGAAACCTGAAGAAACCAGCCTAGATTCCAGAGAGAAGAAAGCCAGCTCGGCTCCCAGAGGTACAGGTGGGTCCTGGTGAGACAGTGGGGAGCCGTGCAGGAAGCTGCTCACTGGCTGCTTAGGTCACTGTCTTCACTGGAGCAAATGGGAAGCTCAAGGGCGTACCGGGTCATGTTTCTGAGTAGTTCATTGAGCTTCTCCTAGAGGCGAAGAGACAGCCCCTCTAGCCCGGGCTCTGCCCGATGGAGGCTGGTGTACTTGCCAATTGTCTTCTTGTTCAGTGTGCCTTTGGTGCCACAGTACCGAGGCTGCACAGGGAGCAGCCCGACTGCAGACGCTGGGTCGTGTCCTGGGGCTCAGGGGGTAGAGACAGAGGGAGCCACAGAACCCGAAGCAGGCTCCAGGCTCCGAGCTGTCAGCACAGAGCCCGACCTGGGGCTCGAACTCACAAACTGCAAGATCATGACCTGAGCCAAAGTCGTACACTCAACCCGCTGAGCCCCCCAGGCGCCCCCAGGCTCGGGTTTTATGTGCACCAAGTGTGATGTTCAGAGCCAGCTCGTCCCCTGCCTCTTGGCCAAATCTCAAAGGGCTATTTGGCACATAGTCCGGAATTCAGTGCGTTTCTCCTCGCTACCTTTAAGAGAAAATACTTATTCCACAAAAAAAGAAACGCCGATTGATTACTAGGTAAAAGAATGTGTCATCTTGTGCTGTAAGTGGCATCCACAGCGGTTCCTGGATCCCAGTCCCCACTTACACGTAGTGGCCACCTGGCCTGCCGTAGGTGGCCCAGCCCGTTGGCACTTCCGTTCCTGCCCCCGTGAAAGCTGCGGATGGCGCCCCCTGGTGAGGATGATCTCTTATGCATCATTCACGGGGCTGGGCCAGAGCTGAGCAGCAGCCATGGTCATGGTGTGGTGCCACATGACAGATGTAAGTCTGGTAGCTCCGTCTGTCTAGGAGCGGGCAGTCGTGCTTCCACATTTATCCCCAGAGAGGCGGCGGCAGATTCCCCAGATGAACAGACTCCTTTCCTTTTTAAGAGTGTGGTGCGGATTTGTAAAAAAAAAAAAAAGAGTGTGGTGCGGGAAGTGACCTGTAGTTCCGACCCTGACGAATCTGACTTTTCGTTCTTGCAGCAGCAAACGGGAGCTCTTCTGGAAAAGTCAAGAAGCCTGTGTGTGGAGCCACAAAGAGGCGCATTGCGGACAGTGAAGAGTCCGAGGCGTACAAGTCCCTTTTCACCTCCCACAGCTCTGCCAAGCGCCCCAAGGAGGAGTCGGCCCACTGGGTCACCCACACGTCCTACTGCTTCTGAGTCCCGGGGTCCCCTGGGCTCTGCCGGCCCCCCGTGTGCCCGTGGTTGTGAGGTCACCCTCGCTTGTGCGGCACCCGGATTCGCAGAGTGGCCGCAGCCGCACCTGCCCGCCCCTCCCACAGGCCCCGCGCTCGCTCCCCCTGCAGATGCGCCTGGCCCCCCACTGCCCAGAGAGACACGTGGGCTGCGCCTTCCGTGCTGAACATGATTAAAGACTCCAGATCCCTGACGGGTGTGTGCTTGGCTCATTTTGACTAAAGTGGCTAATAGTTAGTGGTTAAACAGGCCAGTGAAACGGACCTTTATAAGGAAGAGGCAAGTTGTAACGCACTGTACCCGCAGCCGTGTTTGCGGGTGCTGGTCAGTGCGGGCCTCACCCTGCAGGGTTTGGGGCAGGTTCAGACAGAAGGGAGTTGGTAGGACACCGGACGCTTTGCCGGCCAGGTGACAAGTCTGCCCTTCCTCTCTGCTGCGTTCTCTCTCCTCTGTCTGCACGGTTCTGGTGGGGACGCTGCAGCCTTTCTGCTGATGGTGATCAGAGTGACCCCATGTCCTACGAATTCCTTTCCCTCAGAGGAAGACGGGAATTCTGTGTAAAATTGGTGCCTTTTACCTTGTACCTGTGCTCTGTGTTGACTGCTGTCACTGAACCTTCCCCTGAGACCGCGGGTGAGGAGAGGGCTGTCCCTCTGGGTCTCGGCGCGGCCTTCTGGAGCTGGTTGTGGTGTGGGTGCCATTGGCTGGCTCCTCACAGCCGACCCAGGGCCTGGCTTCCATTAAAAAGCAGAGAACCGAGCTGGGGGAGGAAGCTGATGGAGGCCCGGGGAGGGGGTTCTGTCCCCAAGTTCTCAGCCTCTGCGTAGTGGCAAGTTCGGCCCCTGGCGCATCCATTCTATGAACAGAGAAGCATTTTCCGCAGAATCCATTAACGTCGGTGAGTTTTTGTCGCGGACTTTTCTAGAACAAACGTGCATTTCCCGTCTTCTTTGCCTTTCCCGTGCTCCCTAGAGCCCAGGTAATAATCCATTTCCTAGTTATTTATGGCTTGTTCTCCTTCTGCTACTATAACAATCAGCACCTTTTTTATTTGGCAAAGACTTCTTTATCACGAGGCGTTTTCTCATCTCACGAGGAAAACTTGTCCATTGGTCTTTTTAGTCAAGTGTCACTAATTACGGCCTCACTCATCACGAGGCGTTTTACATTGACGGCCGTTATTTTTGCCAACTTGGGTTCCCCTCATTTCAGCCTTAATTTTATTCTGCAGCGATTATTTTGACTATGTCCAGTTTTTCCCAGTGACCCGGTCACAGTGTCCCCGGCATCAGAACTCGAGCATCTTAGCCTGCTGCCCCTCCATCAGGGTCCCATCCCAGCTCTGCAGGTCATTCCCTCCCGCCCTCCACCCCCCCCCCCCCCCCCCGCCCCTCGGGGCCTCGGCCTCTCCCCCCACCTGCCTCTGGCCTCTGCCTACTCAGCAGCTCCTCCCTGAGCCATCCCCGCATCCCCCTCCCAGGGAGCCCTGCAGCCCCCAGAGAAGAGCCTGGAGCTTCCTTGAATGTCCGGCAAGGCATTGAGTCCTCGTAGGCCCGAGGAGCGGCCCTTGCCCCTGCTTGAGGCGGGGAACAGTGTGACCAGGTCCCCCTGGGCCCAGCTGGACGCAGGCTCCCTGCTCGGGGCCACCGTGGTCCTGAGCGCTCACCTGAAGAGCTGAGCACCTGATGGTCTTAATCTCCTGGGACTCGGTGACCCACAGAGAGGGGCTGGTGACCACGGTGCCTTCCCACAGCACTGCACACGTGGCCACAGCTTGCGAATCAGTTCCTTTGTCTCCCACGAATAAGTCATCAGGAGCCTCCCGCCCCCCGCCCCCCCAGGCCAGGGCCGGCGGCCAGAGAGGGAGGGACAGAGAGGGAGGGACGTCTGCAGGTTCCTCATGCCTCTGCCTGACCCTGACCCGGCCACTTTTCTAGCCAGGAGGGACCTGGGAGGGGAAATCTCCAAGTTCTTTAACTCTTCTATTTCCAAGAACTAAAGTTAAAGCCTCCCCCAGAGTGAACTGAGAAGACCGCCAGTCAACACCATGAACCTCCTCCTGCCTTCTGACCCAGAGAGCATTTGGGCTCAAAGATCTGAGGGCGCCTGGGGGGCTCAGTCTGTTCAGCATCTGACTTCGGCTCAGATCATGATCTCGCGGTTCATGGGTTCGAGCCCCGTGTCGGGCTCTGTGCTGACAGCTCAGAGCCTGGAGCCTGTTTCAGATTCTGTGGCTTCTCTCTCTGTCTGCCCCTCCTCCACTCGTGCTCTGTCTCCTTCTCTCTCAAAAATAAATAAACGTTAAAGATCTTATATCTCGTCTGCTTGCCTACTGAAAAGTGCTTTAGACTTTGACCAGGAGACAAACCAAAACCGTGTGATTCCTGTCAGCAAACATCCAGAAGTATTTCCATGTAACAGAAGCAGCACGGGACAAAACTGGTGGACGCTCCCATGGTTTGGGGTCATCTGTGTAAACCACGTCTGTGCCCCTCGCTGCGTCACACCACAAGATTTTTAGGGGATGCCTTAGAATACAGGGCGCATGCAGACACGGGGCCACCCCAGGACTCTGCAGCTGTAGCTGAGCAATGGGGTGACCCCCACAGGAGCCACGTGAGGCTGCTCAGGAGACGCAGGACGGAGTGTCTGACCCGAGGACGGGCCCCTGATGGTCATAGGGCACACCCTCTACCTCACGGCCAGACGCCGGCCGCTGCCTCCCAGAGGAGCCCCCCACCCCCGTGAGGAGGGAACCCCCTGCTTTCTAATCAGCCCTTTGGATTTGCATCTCTGCCGGCCCAGCGCAGACCGCCTCCTGCAGGAAGGCCCCCGCCTCTCCAGCGAGCTATGCACCGTCTTCCCCTGTGGTTTCGAATCGTCTTACAAAACTCGGTCGCTGCCCGGGGTTCAACCCGGTCGGAGGCCCAGGGAGGCTTCCCAGGGGATCCCTTGATTATATTCAGCAGAACGTTTCATTCCCAGGCAGTCTGTGAGGCAGGTGACAGGGGTGGGGGGGGGGGGGCAGCTTCATGTGTCATTACATGAGATTTGGGGGATTCCTGTCATCTTAGAAACTGACGCTTTCAAACAGCGGCCAGGGAACCCTACCCCACTCCACTCCCGGCACTGGCCTTCGTCATCACACAGGCTGCGTCCTTCTCACGTCAGGGTCTTCAGCCCCCTACCCGTTTACCCGGCCACCCCCTCCCCATCCCTCAACCTACCTGACCATCCGTCTGGGGAGAGGCTTCCAGCATAACCTAAGCTGTGCCGTCCCCTTCTTCTGGTCTCGTAAAGCACCCTGTTCTTCACCACGATTAGAATGAAGTACTTCATACCCTTGGTTGACCCAGGCGGTGTGCACTCAGGGACGATCATGAGCAGAGGTGGGAGGCGAGGGACACGGGGTGGGGGGGACCGAGTGCAGCCACTAGAAGGCCAGCTCCCGTCTGACTCCAGCCTCGAGCGGCCCGGTGTTAGCAGACCACCCCTATTTTCAAAGGGAGCCGGAAATCTTGGTTCTAAACGTGGAGCCCCTCCCAACATTGAAATCTTGGCAAAGAATTATTTCTAGAAACACTGTAGAGGCCCAACAAAACACACCAGTTAGTGGCCTCTGGTTTAGTATCTGCCCCACTCGCCTCTCCGTTCCACAGCTCCACGTGCTGGGTCCACCCTGCTCACCACAGCGTCAGGATTCAACGGGTGAGACACAGAAATAGGTGATGGCCTCTCCCGGCGGAGCCCAGGGCCCGGAAAGAATATTCTGGCCGGGAGCTGGTGGCCCGTCTTCTCGCTCTTACCGAGCCTTGGAAATTTCTCCACCTCCTTCGGGCCTCGCACCCGGGCAACCACCAGGAGCCTAGCCTGGAACCCTCACAATGGCCAGAGCTGGCCCTGCCTCGCAGCCTCTGTGACATCACCAACCGCCCAGGCCTAGGCAACCGGGCCCCAGGTGCAGACAGACCCACCATGAGCTACTCCCCCCCCCATCTCTGCTCACCATGCGGACGCTGACCTGGGTCTTGTTTCTGCTACTGTGCCTCTCCTGTGGCTATGCCTTTATGTTTACTTCCCTGAGAGAGAAAGCCAAAGAACCCCAGGGGAAGGTGCCCTGCGGAGGGCACTTCCGGATTAGGCAGAATCTACCAGAGCACGCCCAAGGCTGGCTTGGGAGCAAGTGGCTCTGGCTTTTTTTTGTTGTCCTGCTGTATGTGATACTGAAGTTTCGAGGAGATAGCGAGAAGAGTAAGGTAAGGACTGCTCTCCATTTTTCACACCGACTCCCATCTCAGCCCCGCCGGACGCGGAGAAGCGGATGTTCTAGTAGGTTATGCTCAGGGTCGTGAAGTGAAACCAAGTAGGAGGCAAGGCACCCACCTCACGGTCCCGAGAGACACGGGCACATTCATTTCCTGACGTCTCCTCGGGGAAGACAGTAGTCCCCGGATCCACAGGGATCCGGGCTAACGATCGAAGTTGACCTTCTGTTTATTGGGCGAATAAAAGCTTGGCTTGACATTTATCCTATTAAGTGAGTCTTTTCAAAGTAAGGATAGGTTCAAGAACTTGGTGTGTTTCAGGTCAAAGTTACTTATAGTTAGGGCTCCTGGGTGGCTCAGTCGGTGAAGCGTCCGACTTTGGCTCAGGTCATGACCTCACGATTTGTGGGTTCGAGCCCCATGTCGGGCTCTGTGCTGACAGCTCAGAGCCTGGATCCTGCTTTAGATTCTGTGTCTGCATCTCTCACTGACCTTCCCCTGCTTACATTGTCTTTTCTCTCTCTCTCTCCCCTGCTTACATTGTCTTTTCTCTCTCTCTCTCTCAGAAATAAATAAAAGATTAAAAAAAAAGTTACTCACAGACACAGTCACTGCCCTTGATTCTTAATCTCCCTAGAATTTGACTTCTGACAAGTTACTGAACTGAATGGAAACGGTATCAATAAGGATAAATGTGTAAAGAAGTAACAGCTCCTTCCTAAAGTGGCTGGACAAGTGTCAGTCGGTGAAAGGGAGACAAATATGGCATGTTCTAGACAGCCCAACGCTTCATGATACCGTGTCCAAACCAGTAGAGCAGCGGTTGGCAAACCTTTTCTGGAAAGGACCAGATGGTAGATATTTTCAGCTCTGCAGCCTGGATAGTCTCTGTTGTAACTACCCAACGCTGCTGTTTTAGCCTGAAAGCAGCCTTACGTAATACACCACTAAATTAGCAAGGCTGTGTTCCAATAAAGTTTTATTTACAAAATCAACATGGGGGCCAGATTGGTCCGTAGTTTGCCAATCCCTGGCCTAGAGCGCAATGCGAGAACCATCTTTTCTTAGATGAGCCCAACTCTTTTGGAACTGTGTCAAAACCAGTAAAGTCAACAAAATTATTCACCCTGATAATCTTTCTTGACAGGAGCAGAATCCTTCTGGGCTTCGAGGCTGTTCATTTCGCTCTCCGCTAAAGAAAAATCAAAATACTTCCCCCAACAAAGACTATGCATTCAATACCTTAACCAAGCTCGAGGTGGACCTTGCGAAATTTATGTCCAACGTGCGCAACCTGAAAGTCACCATGGCAGCTGGCGGCAGCCCCAAGTTTCAGAACTTTGAGATGCCTGCAGATCCTCACAATGGCATCACCATCTATGAGATATGGGGTGAAGAAGACTCTGAATGAATAGATTTATGTGTCAGAGTAAGAGAGAAAAAGTTGAGCACTGACAAACCCTATGCAAACTAATAAAACTATTCTGAAGAAAAAGAATTCTCAAATGTGACACCTTTTTTCTGCCCCCTCTTTCTTTCTTTCTTTCTTTCTTTTTTTTTTTTAATATTTTTATTTATTTCTAGGAGAGAGAGGGAGAGAGAGACAGCGTGAGCAGGGGAGGGTCAGAGAGAGAGGGAGATACAGAATCTGAAGCAGGCTCCAGGCTCTGACTAGCTGTCAGCACAGAGCCCGACGCGGGGCTCGAACCCACGAACCGTGAGGTCATGACCTAAGCGAAAGTCGGACGCTTAACCGACTAAGCCACCCAGGCGCCCCTGCCCCCTCTTTCTTTTTTTAAACTGGGAGAAAAATAAATAACTGTGAGACCAGGGGCCGCCGCAGTTACTGGTTTGTTTTTGCCTCCCTCGTCTCCTCCTGAGCAGTGAGCAGGGAGAAGAACACAGACAGTGACGTAGTGGCAGAGGGTGGCACGCGTGGCCACAATGCCAGATTCCTCATAGGACGATGAGGCTTGGGAAATTTGGGATACGTGGCCGCTACCGTTTTCAGACTAGCTGTGTTTACAGGAGGTGTTGGCACAAAAGAGGGAACCAGTTTTTTTCTTTCTAATGTATTACGAAGTCCAGCTTTAATTGCAGATATAAAAAAAAGTGACGGAGGGGCCCCTGGGTGGCTCAGTCTGTTGAGTGTCCAAGTCTTAATTTCAGCTCAGGTCATGATCTCACGGTTCGTGGGTTTGAGCCCCACGTGGGGCTCTGCGCTGACAGCGTGGAACCTGCTTGGGATTCTTTCTGCCTCTCTCCCTGCCCCTCCCCCACTTGCAATCTCTAAATAAATAAATATTTTTTAAAAAGAGGAAGTGATTGAATTAAGAGAGGTGTGTGTGTGTGTGTGTGTGTGTGTGTGTGTACGCACACGTACATATGTCAGGGGGATGGTGGATTCTAGAATCATTTGATTTTCTTAACACCAGAAAAGTCTTTTTATTCACTGCATCTCGTAGATTACATGTATTGACTTTTTCTTCTACCAAACTAGCAGTTGTATCTGTCTAATTGGATTTAAAAAAACAAAGAATTAAAATAAAATAAAATAAAATAAAATAAAATAAAATAAAATAAAATAAAATAAAATACAATAAAAATAAAAAAACAAAGAATTGATCTATATTTTCCGTGTAATTTGGATATAGGTGAGCCAAGCCGGGCTTCCCAAATTGGTTGATATGAATGTTGATAATACTTATTAAAAATATGGATATTTTTGAGGGCGCCAGGTGGCTCAGTCGGTTAAGTGTCCAACTTCGGCTCAGGTCATGATCTTACAGTTCATGGGCTTGAGCCCCGCTTCAGGATCTGTGCTGATAGCTGAGAGCCTGGAGCTGCTTTGGATTCTGTGTCTCCCTCTCTTTCTGCCCCTCCCCCATTCACACTCTGTCTTTTACTCTCAAAAATAACCATTAAAAATTTTAATTAATAAATAAAAATTTTAAAATATGGCTATTTTGGCATGTTAGTATGGCTGATGGAAACTTACTCGAGGCTGTTAAATCAGCTTACTGACCCCCTAATCTAGGTCAGTGGGTCGTTTTATGGACGGGCAGGTGCAGGCCAGGAGAGAGAAGCTAGCCGGGGAAGATCATGGAAGTTGCTTATTTCTAGTTCAGTCCAGATTCATGTGTCCCTGACAGAGGAGTCCTGCATCAGTGACTTCCCGCCATTTGGGCGAAGTCTTCAGGCTCCGCCCCGTGTGTGAGAGTCATACCTCCAATGAAAGCCGCCCACCCATCTCTTCCCATCTGGTCCTTCCCAGCACTTACTTCTCATCTTCACCAAGCAGGATGGGGAAAAGTGGAAAGAGCTGAGATGACTCCTTTGTGCCTCCAGTATTCTGAGTTTTTCAAGTAAATGGGCCTATGCGAGTTATTTTCATGGCTCTCTGAGGACATGCAGATAAGCAAAGCACATTTTGGTTTTAACCTGTGGCCTCAGCGTGGTGCAGATTGTAGATTGATGGAGGGGATCCAAAAGCCAGAGGTCAACGAACCATGGTCCACAGGCCAAATCCGGCCCACTGCCTGTTCTCATACTACCTATGAGTTAATGATGGCTCTTATTTATTTATTGCTATTTTTAAAAGAAAAAAAAACTTTCCTTTTGTTCGGGGTGGGGGGGAGTTTGTTTTGTTTCACTTTTTCACACAAGCATGGAGCCCAGTGCGGGGCTTGAACTTACAATCCTGAGATCAAGACCTGAGCTTAACTGACTCAGCCACCAAGGTGCCCCTGGCTTTCATATTTTTTTTAACTTTTTTATTTGTGGAGAGAGAGTGAGAGAGAGAGCATGCTCAAGTGGAGCAGGGGCAGAGGGAGAGAATCTCAAGCAGGCACCACACTCAGTGCAGAGCCAGATGCGGGGCTCCATCCCACGACCCTGGGGTCATGACCTGAGCTGAAATCGAGAGTCAGATGCTCAACTGACTGAGCCACCCAGGTGCCTTTGGCTTTTATATTTTTAAACGATTGAAAAAAAGATAAATGTCCCCTGGCGAACAGGATGGAGGTCTGCTGTGGTTCCTGCTGTGTCCTCGGCATCTGGGACAGAGCCTGGCGCATCATGGGCACTCTGCACAGATTTCAAAAGAGCTCTTTGGCATTCATTTCAGATTTACAGATAACAACAGCACCGAAAGTTCCCCCTCCCCCAGCTGCCCCGAACCTTGGCCTCTTAGGTGATCGTGGGAGAATTGTGACAACCAAAAATGGTAATATAGGTGCAATACTGCTCCTTAACTAGTGTGAAGTTCATTTCATTTCTGTCTGTTCTGGGATCCCGGCCAGCAGCCCACAGCGCACACAGCCAGCCTGCCTTACTCTCCTTCTAAATGGAACAGGCTGGCTGTGACCTTGGCGATTTTGAAGAATAGTGATCAACTGTGCTGTAGAATATCCATTTGGGTTGAATGACGTTTGCTTTCTCGCGCTAGGAATAAGGTTGTGCGTTTTTGGCAAGAACACCAGTGACATGGGGCACCTGGGGGGCTCAGGCAGCTTAACGTCTGACTCGATTTTGGCTCAGGTCCTGATCTCATGGTTCGTGGGTTTGAGCCCTGCGTTGGGTCCTGTGCTTACAGTAAGGAGCCTGCTTGAGATTCTCTCTTTCTCCCTCTCTCTCTCTCTCTGTCCCTCCCCTCTCCAAATAAATAAGTAAACTTAAAACAAAACAAAACAAAGAACTGGAGATGTGATGTGGTGTCCTGGTGATACAACACTTTTGATATTGACTTTCATGGCTTGATTAAGGTGGTATCTGCTGGCTTCTTCTCGGTAACAAAGAAATATCTTAGAGAATACTCTATAGTCTATACCAATCTGCCCCTCAAACTTTCACCTGCTAGTGTGAGCATCTACAAGTGGGTCTTTTCTGCAATAATTATTTCAGTGGTGTTGGTATTTGCCTGATGCTGATTTTCCTGTTTCCTTCTACTGTTATTAACCGGAGTTCTACTGTAAGGAAGGCCTGTCCTTTCTCCCCCGTTTATTTGATTATTTACTTATATCAGGATAGACACACAGATATTTATTTTGTCGTATTAAAGTCCAATATTTTTGGTATTTATTTTCTTGCTCGAACTTTGCCAGCTCCCGCAGGTGGGCTCCACTGTACTTGAACAAGCCCCACCCTCTTCTGAGCCGCTTCTTACTGTCTGGAAACCCAAGACGGTCCAGGACAGTCTTGTTTATCCTCAGGGAATCAACCACTTCTCCGAAGAGCCCTGGCTCCTTGGATGGAGAAAGGCACTTAGCGGCCAGGCTCCGGATGCTGGGCAGCTGGTCTGCCCCATCCGTCACGGCTCCCAGACCCCCTCGGTGAGAGCCTCTTTGGTTTGTTTTACCCTTTCTGTATTTCTCTTGCACAAATGAACAGATACGTGTGTTTTCTTATAGCCCCTCTTTCCCATGTGAAGGATACCCTGCTATCAATATGCTTTGGGGCTTTTGCTTTTCGTTTGTTTGATTAACAGCGAGTCCTGGACATGACTCCGCGTTGGCTCACATCTCATCCTTTTTTCCACGTACAGAGTACTCCGCTGTGTGGATGTGCCCGGGGTGTGCCACGATGGAGAGTGGTCCATCCAGCTCTTACACAAGAGCATTCAAGTGGTTTCCAGTAGTTGGAAGAGACAAATAATGGTGCAACGAATAACCTTGTGCACGTTAAGTGTTTCGTGTTGTCGGAGGTTTATCTGGGCATGGATGCCCAGGTGTGGGATTGCTGGGTCGAAAGGCGGTGCACACGTGGTTTTGTGAGGTATTGCCAAATTTCCCTCAGGTGGGTAGTGCCAGTGGGCCACCTCGCCAGGGGCACCAATAGATTTAAAAACAAATGTGGGCATAGCTTGCACTTCCAGAGACAACCACCAGGTGGAAGACAACGCCCACCTCAGAGAACCGGCTGCCCGTTGCCAAGATTTTGTTTCCAAGGGCCCTTGACAATAGCGCGAAGGGGACGCAGGGGTAGCCACGGTGTGTTCATTACTAAGAGCAACCAGCTTTCATAGTACTGGCAGCAATAATGCCACTACTTTATCAACAACGACTCACTCACTCCAGGGTTTATCCTGTCCACTGTCGTGAGCGCTGGGGCTGAGAAGGTGGAAAACAAGTCAAACATCCCTTCTGGGCAGCGAGGCAGTAAATACACAGGAAGTCCTACTACAGCCTGTCAGGGGCTCGCGCGCACTGAGGACACGGATCGGTCAGGGAAGAGGTATGCGTGCAGGTGTGGGGTCCGCGGGCGGGGTGCTTGGCTTACCGTCACGCAGTATAATTGGGGAAGAACTCGGTGAGGACGTCCTGGCGGAAGAGTGTGGAAGACAGACATGATGGGAAGTGCAAAGGCCCTGAGACAGGAGCCTGCGGCATGATGGGGGGGTGCTCAGTGTCCTTGGGGCCCAGTGAGTGAGAAGAGGTAAGAGGCAGGGAGCGGGGTGCCACCCACGGGATTTGGACTTTCCCTCCCTAAGAGATGAGGGCGGTGGGCGAGAGTATCAGATCCGCAGGGTCCTGGAGAGAGGGCTTCCTCCTCCCCGCTCCCCAAACCTGCAGCTCACGCCTCCCCAGATACCTGCGGGACCCCGATGCCGCCGGGGGGGGGGGGGGGG